CGATCAGAAGTGGTGCCAGTTTGTTGTAGACGACCTCGCAAGTCATACACAGTACGAGGGCTGCATCCCATTGCTCTTGCGACGTCAATAACTGATCTTCCCGCTTGCCAACGGCACGTTCACGTTGCACATTTAACAATCATGGCATTTGAAGTACCGTTAGAACTGTGGTTTAAAAGTGTTTTTTCAATTCTTGAGGCCAATGTAAACACGTGCATATGAAGAAATCTTCGATGCGAAGATCACGTGACCGACTGCACGTGCAAAACCTGATTTGGCACTAACGTCATTTGCACGAGGAATGGATGGGTTTGAGTGGGTTTTGCTAACATTTTTCTAGAGTCGAATGATAGGGATCCAATTTCGGATACATAGATGTATCATCAGAGATAAATTATTCATTAATTTTCAAATTACATTTTGTGAAGTTTCTTTTTTGACTCACTATACATTGTTAACTTGCCTTTCATTAGATAGATAGATGTAAGATGTGCTGTGTCATATTGTTCACAACAAGTCACTGGGCGACACTGAATTTAATTCATACAACATTTTACCTTCTGTCATCGGTACGAACTCACGGACAAGGACAGCAGACGCCGCACGTTAACATGTTTATCTTCCCACATGTCATGTATTATCTGAAATATAAACTTTAAACTGTGCATGGTGTCGAATTTGCACGACATATTTAATTGGTATTTCCATTACTGAAATAATACGGCGGTATTTTCAGTAAGGGACAACATTGATGATCAAACTATAATTGCTGCAGATGATATATAAATGGTCGGTTATATATTTCCATATAGATAAACGCTTGGAATCATAGCAGCTGAGACGAAAACCCCACTTGTGTTGTTCATGTGACTGTTTATTTAATAAGTTTAATTTTCAGTTACAGCCAAAGCATTTGATGAAAGCAGTGTGAAAGTTCAACGTGTTCTTGAACACGTTTGTGCTGCTCTTAAACGTAGAGGCTTAAATGGAGAGGGTAGCCGAGTGGTTAAAGCGTTCGCTCGTGACGGCGAGGACCCGGGTTCGATTCCCCACATGGGTACAATGAGTGATGCCCATTTTTTTGTTTCCCTCCCTGTGATATTGCTGGAACATTGCTAAAAGCGGTGTTAAAATAAACTCACTCACTCTAAGTGTAGACATTTCATGAGTGGGTGTCACATACATGTGCATACATGTACATCAGTGCACGCTATGTATCTTAGCTAATACATGTAAGTCTGGGCTACGAATCCACCGCGTCTACGAACTGGTTCAGCCTACGAAAACACGGTCTCCCCCATGTAACAGTATCATCGGCAAAACTAGTGGAGGGAGTGGACATTAGCATTTTTTCTCAAATGTTTATTTCTTTCTTGAAGGGAGCGGTGGGGTACACGTTTGTGCTGCCCTTAAACCTACAATGCTCTTAAGTGTTGAGGGGCGGTAGAGTAGCTGAGTGGTTGAAGCGTTCGCTTGTGAGGTCGAAGACGTTTCCCACATGGGTACAATGTCTGAAGCCTATTTCTAGTGTCCCCTGTCTTGATATTGCTAGAATTTTGCTAAAAGCGACGGAAAGCCATGATCAGTCACTCTTTGGTGAAGATTACAACCCGTGTACACCACCAGACTATTCCTGGTCTCTGACCACTATGCTGGTCAGGGTCGGTATTTTGATTGATGCATGCCATTATGTCTGCTGATACGTTGACCGATGTGTATAATGTCAGACACTAGATACTCTGGTCCAGACCCGATTGTTTACAGACCGCCGTCATATATCTGGATCATTGCTCAGTGTGGCCCAACGAACAACCAACAGTGTTTTATGGACACAGCAAGGAGCCTGGGATACACACGTTCTCTCTCTGTATATGGTCAGTGCGAGTATATAAAGGATTGATATATAGAGAATCTCACCCAAGTGTCTTCTGATATCAATTATATCAACACGAGTTGATAAAGTTACAAATATCCGAGGCTTGCCGAGGATATTTTAACTTTAATCAACGAGTGTTGATATATTTGATATCAGAAGACACGAGGGTGAGATTCTATTTATCATCCAAAATCACTTTTCATTAATTTTCAATGAAATATGTACATCTCTCAACACGGTACTGCCATTACACTTGCAGTGCAGTGATGTCATAGCATTGTGACGTCATCAAGTACATGACGTCATAGCATTGTCAGGGCATTGTACAAAATCTACTGTCAAAACGATATCTCCTAGGAGATATCGTTTGATCTCACACAAGCGATATCTCCTGTGGAACACAGTTTTGGATGATAAAATGTTGTGTTTTACTACTGTTAAACCACGCGTTATTTCACGATATTTTCACTTTCAAAATAATGTAAAACGACATAATTATTTAATATAAACCCCAACTGTGTTTTGCCCAGAAGAAACGAAGGAAATGGTACACAATATTTCTGAATAAAATACCTTCTACATGTATACATAAATACATACATATGATACATACATATACAAAAAACTGTTGTTAAATACCTTTATTATATCATTTCGAGATCGTTCAGAAAACATAAATCGGGTCAAGGTACGAAATATACTTTAAAAATAACGGGCATATATAGTTGTGGTTGGTAGAATAGCAAATTGAAACAAATACACAAAAAAATCATTTTTACTGATTATTACAGGAATGGACAACGGTAAAGAAACATATTAACATTTTGCAATTATTCTTTCAACTTTCAGCTGCATAAAAAGCTGGCTATACTCTTTTGCCTCTCAGTTTTGAGCATTTCCTCCACGAAATTGTATCAGTGTATTGATCATCCTTTATCATCCAAAACTGTGTTCCACAGGAGATATCGCTTGTGTGAGATCAAACGATATCTCCTAGGAGATATCGTTTTGACAGTAGATTTTGTACAATGCCCTGACAATGCTATGACGTCATGTACTTGATGACGTCACAATGCTATGACATCGCTGCACTGCAAGTCTAATGGCAGTACCATATGAATACTTGTCGTGGGAATTTTAGGGAAAGCTTATTTTCCGAATCTCTGAGAAAATATGTCTAAAAACAAGTATTAAATTAAGGAAGGAGTGGAAATATGCCAAGAATAATGTAGACACAGCTCTGACAATGTCAACAATAAGATGATGCCCAATCAAATGACATCATCCCATTATGTAATTGACTCAGAATACAACATGCGTACTGCAATTGTGTATTGTCAGTTTGCAACACTGTTATAAACAAAATGCATTTGTCAATTGACTACATGTACACCACCTGCATTGATATAGGTGTTTAAATGGGTTATACTGCAAGCATCATGTGGGCGCACATAATTTCTTGCACATTATTCTTTGCTGATCTACAAATGAAATATTTTACGAATGAGGTTTCGCAGTCAATCCACATATACTTTGTATTGATGCACTCATTCATTCTAATGCATAGCATCATACCGCCATGTTAATGCAGCTTTTCTACCTGAAACAAGGCTGAAATATTTATAGGAGTATATAGTAAGAACTGCATACAATTCCGGATCTGGCAATGATAAGTACTCAGAATCATGTTAGGATCCTCAAAAGCATAACACAACCTCATTTATGTTTTATAGATTTTTAGCTTGCAGCACATAAAGCTTTCTTCAAACCATCAGTGACACATCTTGATAAAAACATTCAAACTCAACTTACTCCTAAAGCTTACACACTGACAGCTGGTGTATGTATAGTATGACCAGAAATTATTGAGAATTTTAGGAATATGTTTAATTGGATTTCTAGTATAAACAACCTTGACCAGCTATCAAGTGCTTGGTTTCATTCAAGAGAGACAACTCCGTTAATCCTTTTTCATTAGTTTGTGAAGAGTTATCCCCATTTGTTTACTTGCTAGCAGACGACATTTTCAGTGATCCTCAGTATGGATGATTTAGAGAAGAGGATGTTGATTTTAGAGTATTATAACAAGGACATCAGATCAGCTAAAGTGGTTTCAAGTAGAACAGGCATCCACTGTTTGTCCACTGTTTATTGTGTTTTGAAACATATTGCAAATGGATATGGCATTGAGCACCAGGGAAGCTTGGGGTAGGCCCAGAAAATTGACTGTCAGTGACAGGAGGCGGCATGGTATTCTTGTTTCTAAAACAAACAAGGGAGTTTAGAAAACTTAAGGCTGGATATGATTGATAGAGGAACTGTGGCTGTCTGTAAGGAGACAATTAGAACTGAGCTGCATGCAATGGGTTGGCAGAAAAGTCGAGGAATTCCATCACCGATCATGAAACCTGAACAAAGGAGGTGAAGGTTGAACTGGTGCTTACAGCATAGAAATTTTAACTGGGACAATGTGATTTTCTCAGATGAAAGTTCTGTGTGGCTGTTTCCTAATACACTGAAATTCTGGACCAAACAAACTGAAAAAACTTTTGTATCAGCTTCAAAAGTACAGTCCGAAATTTAATGTGTGGGGTGGCATATCTGTGTTAGGGGCAACGCCCCTCTGTGTATTAGAAGGGAATATGAACAGTGAGGGGTACACAGATATTCTCGAGGGACATTTACTTCCATCTGCAAACATGTTCTATGGAAATTTTTGGATTTTCCAGCAGGACAACGGCCCAAACATCTTTCAAAGCATTCACAGGCCTGGTTTCAGACCCAAAATATGACATTATTAGATTGGCCAAGCTATAGCCCTGACCAAAATCCAATAGAAAATGTTTGGGGACTTATGAAGGAAAGTGTCAATAAGAAAAATCTGACAAATATTGCTGAAATGAAAGAAGAGGTGGTCCGATATTGGGACAGCATGGACCATGACTTTCTAACTTCTTTGATCAGTAGTATGCTCCCCCATTGCTGCATTGCTGCCCATGGTGAGCAAAATACTAACTGCATTGCTGCTGGTTGTTTTCCAAATTATAAAGCTGGTTGAACAATATCTCACTGTACTGTTGTGGATCCGTGTTCTTGACACCAAAACAACAACAATAAAGTACAATAACATAAAATACATTTAATGAACCTGACCTCGTCATCTAAAAATGAAATATACAATGTAGTTAAAGTAAAGTAGTTTAATCTGACCAGGTATAAATTCAAGAACTCTTCTAAATAGTTGTAGTTAAAGTAACTTGATCCATGGCCAACTTGATCCATGGCCCGCAGAACCTTTGTACAGGGCATGATTCCTTATATCTTGAATATAGTCAGATTTTCTCTGCATGATGATTCCTTATAAAAAGAATTGAGCAAATCTTTCAAATGATCTGAAAAGTCACTTTGTTGTATCTCAGTGGAGTACAGACTGAGTGAGGTAGTGTCATGTTTTGCTGTACACACAAAGTGCCACACCCAACACCACACAGACCATGCCTGCATATGTCTCTGAAACACAAATGTTTGCAAAAGCATTAATGGAAACTAAATATTTTATGATTTTTCTTTGTACTTGTACATGCTTAAAATTAATGCTTACATAGTTTCAGTTCCTGTATGATATCTTAACATATAACCTGCTTTAAATAAACTCAGAAATCTGTACCTTACTTACTTACTTAATCCTCTTAAATCTGAACCTTAATGCAAGGTTAATGCAATGATTTTAACTAAAATTTGAATTTAGCTCTGTCTGAGATTATGTCGGATCCCAAAAACCCTGCTGGTAAATGGCATAAGGAGATATGTTGAACCATTGGAATTAATTGAATTTTGAAGCTTACTTACCCCAGTGATGGATCTTCTCTCCAAGAAGCCTCCCTGACAGGCTGGTGAAAATGAATGTCAGTGAGTTTGTGAGAGGAACTGCAAGGCTTAGTTCTGGAAACATGAATGTAAGTTGTTGAAGAAGCATGTCTAACAATCTAAACATTATATTAATTGAAAATAGCTATATTGTAAGTAAAAGAAATATACTGAGTAATGGCCTCATCTGCACCCTTCCAATTATTTATATAATCAACTATCAATGACTACATTTGTTTTGGTACAAAATGACTATTCATTAATCTTATCAAGATTTAGATTGATGTGACCATAGTCACATCAAATGGTAAAATAGCCAACAAGGTTAGATGATCTAATGGTCCCTGTCTTCAGACCAGCTAAAAATGTCACGTACCTGCTGATGCTAGTGTTATGTAAAACAAGACGGACCCAGACTGGTTCACAAGAAAGGGGATAAGGTACTGTAAAATGAAATATAACAGTATAGAATAAAGCTCTAACAATGCACTGTTTAAGTACAATAAGATGCCATAAATATGGATGCAATATCTGGCACAAAACTTGGCCAGTGCTATGTTACAGAAACATTCCCATCAGTTACAGAAATGAATAGTCACCTAATTGAACCATTTTCAGTAGATTTGCATCAACTAATAAAGCAGTCAGTTGGGACCTCCTGTACATAAAGTAATGGTTTATATCATTACAAATGTCATCCATACATTTGTAAGTCATACTGCTTTGTAGTTTGTATGGATACATCATACAGATTATGGCACAGAGTATTATAACGTATGGAGCAAGCATTCAGTCAACCATTACACTCCATAATATCACATGGAAATAATTTGTATCCAAATTTTAAAAGTTGGTTTTGTGAAATCAGTACAATAAATAAATAGAAGTTTTGTCATTATTGAATACTAAAATATTATTTCACCAGGACCATTTTTTCACAACTGCATATTTTGGGATGTAAGATTCACACACAGTTACAGTTTGACCATACTATTCTTGTCCATAGTTACCTTCCAGTTAAAGAAAAGAAATCCAAGTTCAGCAAGGAACTGCCTTATCCTGCTGTCATGCTTAATATTTTCAATGCCTTGACTGCCCTTCTTGATGAAAGGATTAGTGGATCCCCATAGTGCTGCCACAGCTATCAACCAGAAGGCATTCTCTACAAACATACAAGAATTGGGTGAGTGAGCTTTATATCGCTTTTAGCAACATTCCAGCAATATCACAGCAGGGGACACCAGAAATGGGCTTCTGACATTGTACACATTTTACAGAATTGAACCTGTATCTTCAGCATGATGATCAAACACTTTAACTACTAGGCTACCTCACCATCCTCTTTCAAGAAGAGTTGGACACAGGTCTGATGTTCTTTCACTTCGGGTTGATGGAGTCCGGAAGTTTAGCCTATGTAGCTCTGCCCACAATCACAGTTTATTTTGTAGATGACACATTTTGGGTTGTTGTTCTTTATGGTGGTGGGTTTTCTTCCATTGGCATGGAGAATGTTGTTAAGGTTGGAGGGCGGAGAAAAGGTGGTATCTATGCCAGCTTGATCTTTCAGGAGGCGGCTGATTTGATGTGACGGTTTGCCAATGTAGGGGATGGATATCTTGATGGGGGCTAAATCTTGTTTGGGTCTTTTGGTAGGGGGTGACAGGGTGGCAGCGATGGTTCTGTTGACTATTTGGGATGGAAAGTGGTTGCGTTCTACGAAGACTTTCTTGAGGTGTTCAATTTCATCTTGTAGTTTAGTTGAACAGATGTTACCTCTGTTACCAATTCCGACAGCAAATCAGCCATTTCCGACCACATCAAAGCAAGCCCCAATCATCAAATAGAGTGGTCTGACATCACCATTCTCTCTAACAAACAAACAGACTTCACTAAACGCAAGCTCACCGAAGCCATCCACATCAAACGTCAAAAGCCCACCATCAACCGAGACCAAGGATACTTCATTCCATCCGCTTATGATGCACTCATCCACCAAGCCCAATCCACTGTATAAACTCACTGCTGTATAAACATGTCATTATCATTTGTACATCATTGGCTTCTACACCTGTCCTTTGTCCACTCTCTGGCTTCATCAGCCTTTTGCCTAGCCAATTATGTTAATTATGTTGTTTTCTTTGTCACATTGTCACACCCAGTATATATACACTTTTCCCCCTCTTTATGTCCCATTATGCTTGACGACGGTACAAGAATCTGTATCGAAACGTCGCACTCACGAATAAAAAGAAGTTGTTATCCATAAAGTTTGTTCTATATTGTACTTCCCAACTTCTAAAATGCCACTCAAAGAAAGGAGTTGGACACAGGTAGTGAAAACACATAAACTGTTTTCCTCACTCATGGTAACAAACAGGCATCAGGAATACATTCTTTATACTCAAGAGATAACTTGGGAGATTTCAAACAAACAGGAGTGCGTAAAACAAATACAACTGTTTTGATTTTTTTCCAGTTCAGAGTGCTCTATGTAAAACTCTTCATTTCAAATTCTATATTAGTTGAATTTCAGTAACAAAATGTGATAACTACAGGTTTGCCTTTTCGTATTTTGTCATAAATGATTAGCCAACAAAAAACTGACAATTTCAGCTCTGACATTCAACAGAGAACTGAATAAAGCTTTTTCAGTCATATTTTGGGTCTTAAAAAGCAATGTTCTTGAAAACATTTTAAAATACCTTACTTATAAATTATTAACGTGTGTGGATTTCCTGATAGAATTGGCCCTAAGCAACCTTTGCTTTGTCGTACAAGGCTTTATGGAACAGGTAATCATTTTTGATCAGATCTGCCTATACCCAAGCATGGATAATAGTAGTTGAAGGTAATACAAATGAAAAGTTTGGCAATGTAGATTGTAAGATCTGAAACTGACTATGAGAAGTTTCCATGCATTAGAAAAGAGATCCATATTACATGAAGATAAAGCATTAATTACATACATCTTCTCACCTATATTCACTTATTTTAGTACTTCAAGGCCTTGAATAGATTTCAATTCTTTAAGAAGAATAACAATTTTTCAGTTGCTTTACTTCTTAATGAACATCACAAAATTCATAAGGTTTGTTGTATGTGTGAGTCTAATGTTGACAACAGTCGACAAGATGCTCATAATATGTTCCATATGTATTTACACACTGCTGTTTTATAGATAGACAAATTGTTGCTGCTTTCTTAAATGAGAACTAAGAAAAAACAGTATATCACTTAATTTCTAGTTTATGACTTACATGACCAATCTTAAAGTATCATCAGATTGTAAGTTTTTGAAGAGTCTACTCTTGCCATAGCGTGGTGAGCTGCATCACACAGACATTGTAAATACATGGGTGATGTTTTTGTAAAAGATAACGTTGTCTTTAATAAGTTAGTGACATGTTTACCATGTTGAAATTTTGTTGGTAATGAAACAATTGTACGATTATTTCACACTTAAATGTTTTTCTTTGTAGATCTGATTGTTTGAAGGATGAGAACCGGTTCCATTTTCACAGGGAAAGAAACATACCCCTGATACAACGTATAGATTTGGTACACATTATCTAGTAAATTCACATTTTCTACGGCACTGCTGCCTAACAGCAACACATGTTTCAAACACAACAAAACAGTATCACGAACAATGTATTTAGACGACGTATTTTCTATTAGTCTTCTTAAATACTTTAAGTAAGGTTATTTTCAATATTGATAAATTCAATCAATGACCGTGTACATTTGATCGAAAACAGGACAAGTCAAACGTACTTTAAGAAAGATATTGAGAATCTTGACAGGAATAGAAGACTAATTAAAAAGTTAATCGTGTAAACATCATTTGTGTATTTATATCACTGTATTCGACCTTACCAACATTAGAATGTTCTGTCATCATCTAGGATCATCAAAAATACACGAGCGCTCCCTAGCAGACACCCGGAAGTCGTCTGCGTGTATGTAAGCTCCGATGCAGTACGTGATAGTTGATGGAACAAGGTATCACTGCGAAGAGCTTAGGGATTTTCTGAAAGAACCTTACGGTACATAAAATATATATCCCACGCCTTTACCAACCGACGATGAGACGATAGTTGTTCTTCTTTTCAAGTTATATGATTCAACATAATCGTTCATTGTTTCCAAAACAATGACATTACCTACATAACAAGAAATTCCTCTCTAACTTCTGCAACTATTTTCCTCACAGCAAATGACGATCAAATATCAGAAGTCAAAAAGGCTATTTACATCTTCTGTAAAGCTTACCTCCCTCTCGGAAATAAAATCGGATGGCATTAACCCATCATCATTTTTTTAAAAATAATCACCTTTCTCGTTATCTGACACCCTCGTTAATCTCCAGGGTATAGGTTCTAGTGGAGATTTATCATAACTTATACCCTAGAGATTATCGAGGATGATTATCTGAACACAAAGTTATTTATTCGATGAGTGAGTATGGGGACGTATGCCTCTTACCAGTCATGTTAGCCATGCACTGACGTGTGAACTTAAAACGAACTAAACTATAGAGTTTATGAGATCAGGCGTTTTCCACTTAGTTAAACAAACGACCCCGTAAAAATCCGTGTTAAAACCAGTCTTCAGCAACCCATGATTTTACCAAGAAGAAACAAACGGAATCGGGTGGTCAGTCTTGCTGACTCGGTTGATGTATGCCATGTATCCCAGTAGTAGACGTTCATGGTGCACTGTACACTGGCCATGACTGGGTCATGTGGACCACCATCATATTGTTAGTGCAAAACAAAGTTTGTTTTTGTTTGTTTTTATTTTACTATTATATTTTTTTATAATTGATAATTTTTATTTCCTGCTTCCCCTGTTACAGAAAAGGCATTAGAGCCAGGGGACTCTAAGGTCCTTTGCAAGAAAACTTCATTGATAACAGGAAAAACTGGATTTTTTTCTAACAAAGCACAAAACAACAACACCAGACACCACAACACATTCACTCACCAATCACACTTACAAGTTTCAAATATTTACAGTAAGTTTAAGTTCAAGTTCATTCAGCCTATATATTTTTTCATTAGGGAACAAGAAGAAAGAATTCAGAAAGTCACTTAAAATTTGCAAAATCATGATATAACATCCACTTTTTATAAAACTTATCTTGTTCACTTTTACTGAAGGATAATTTAGGCATAATGGAACGAAAGTCACTGAAGTTCTAGCTCATTCGGTAAGTCATTCTATTAATGAATCACATTCAAAATTCAAGAAGATCGACCCTTTTCTCTTCTCTTCTTTTTTAAAAGCTTTTAGCTTATTTATTAGCAGAAAAGAAACAACAAGTCCCGGGTAATTGCTCTAGATAGGTATCAGTGTCCCTTAATGGGTGAAAACCATTAGAAGATATCTACTCTCCTGAAGACTGATCATGAGATTAATGAAATATGATAACTGATTTTGTTTAACCCATTAGAACAGGCTTTTCAAGAGGTAACGTTTTTTTTTAACCTATTGTGCTATTATTGTTGTCAAAACAGTTTCCGTTAGTACTAGTATACTGATTTTGCAAATTCGTAAATGCGTTTGATCATCATTTTAATAATTAAACAAACTGACGAGTAAATAAGGTCTAGATAATTACCCGCTTCAGCACTAATGTACATGTATAAAGTAACAAAAATACTTCATATTTGTAGACTATGAAAGTAAACAGTTATCTCACGAGCCTCTGACCTTAGACTAAGATGCCAAATTTAATACTTTCTATTAAAGATAATTACGATTAATTTAAGGCAGAAAACAAACGACGGTGTCGGTGACCTAAATTAAGAATCCTCGCACAGGGCTAACTGGCGCGCTGTTCTATTGGTGTGTCTGCCCCCTACGTTAAGACGAACGTTACCAGAAAAAAACAAATGATAACAGTTTGATGACGGTTTACGTTCGGATTAAATATCTTCTCTGAATTATTTTAATTACATCTGTCATTAACGTAAACCATATGGGGCAATATGAACGTTGCATTTCTACTACCAGCGTAAGTTTAGATCAGTACATCCAGAGGAAGTTGAGTAGTCAAGCGACATTCCACAATTGCATTGTGGGAATGTAAACATTACGAACGTTACCGTGTCGCTGAAAACTTGTGAGTCGAAATGACACATTTGAAACATAAACGTAATGTTTCCACCAGTGATGTTAGCTGCGTGAAGCAACAGCAAACCAGAAAACTGGATGCAACGGTGTAGTTTACTGTAGGAGGCCGTACGAGGCGATGACAACTGACATGCATCGTGACGTCACTTACATTGTGACGTAATGTAAACTGGTTCGATTACGAGGGGCACACTAGAATGGCGCAGTGACGGGATAACGTCATTCAATTGTTACGTCATCAAAAAACTATACCTTTATTGTCTGATAATGTTTGTTTTTTTCGATTGTTCTAACCGTTAGGCATCTTAGAAAGCGCTTTAAAGCGTTATTTAAATAACCACTAGGCTACACCACAGCACTCAAGTACTAGATATATTATACCCCTGTAGGCCAGGAGCATTAGACACAAACAATAGGTAACATTGGAAAAAAATAGTAGAAAGCTGAATTTTTCAGGAAAGCTTCAGAACATCATTGCCATGTACAAGATATAAAGTTCTGCAAATTCTACTTTGTGGCATTTTCAAAATGGCCGCCAATTTCAAGATGGCCGCCAAAATCATTAAAATGATTATGCAAACAGATATTTTGTAAATAATTATGCCATGTGATATATCAAATGAAAGCTCATCTCACAGGGATTCCAAATATATTGATATAATGCCTTGTGTCATTTTCAAAATGGCCGCCAATTTCAAAATGGCCACCATTGTCCCTAAAATAATCAAAATAATCTCACGAAAATATTTCTTTTTAATTAACCATACCTTGTTATATATTAAAAGAAAGCCCTTCTCACAAGGAATCTAAACATATTACTTTTAACACCGCACATACATAAGACAATTAATTATGGCACGATAACCACACATTTTATGTTTATGCTTATGGTACCAGACGTCAAATATATATCCACTTACATTAACCGCAAGTATGAAAGCAGAGAGTTGATTGATATCCTGTTTCCTTTGCTGATGAATATAGAGAGGTCCGACGTTTGTATTATGCAATTCTTTCAGGCGACAATTTTTTTTATATTGAGGGTGAGCTTGTCAATTTCATATTTGACAATGCTGATATCAATGTTAGCACTACCACTGGCTTTGGTACGTAGCATGTTTTAGGTCGAAATGCATGTGTGAAGCCAGTCAGGAAAGAGCCCATCCAGATATCTAGACCTCGCTCCACTCAAATCATGACATCAACTGACGTAGCAGCTGAGGGCGCAAAGATCCCTGTCAAGGTATACTACAAACCTTCTACATCGGGCGTACAGTCTGTCAAGATTGGACCAACTAAACTACCCAAACGAACTGTGTCAGTTCTTCGCTTGACAAAATCTTTTGACAATCTATGGCTAGCAAGTTTTTCACTTGATATTCCACTCTCACAACGTCCATCATGGAGCAGATTTATGCAGTCAACTGTAACTGGAGACAACAACGAAAGAAGCAAAATTCAGATTTTGCCATTTGTCAACCAGGACCGATGAAGGCCCGACACCATCTACTCTGCTCTAGCATTTGTACAGTTGTTGGCTGAAAACCAACATCTTGGGATTTGTCCAGTAACATTTGACCAGCCCCTCTACATTAAAGCAGCAGAAATTGTGGAATCGGCACATCCACAGCTCAAAAGGGTTGTCCTTAAATTAGGACGATTTCATTTACATGAATACATGTCATACATGGGTTCAATTATATATGTGATGGGTGGAAGCGGCTTGAAAGATCTTTGGGCAACTGTTTACGCACCTAATTCTGTAATCCACATGCTGACAAGCCATGCTTATGCCTGTGCACTTCGAAGTCATCTGCTGTCATCTGCGGCTATCACGTCCATCCTAATGCAATCAAAAGATGTTCTTGATTCTTTGAATGTGGAAAAGCTTTGTACCGTACATGGCAGTTTGTTAGGTGGCAGATGCGATATTGGCTCCCTTGACTCTCAAAACCTGGACAATATCCTACGGCTAGCTGAAACCGTTGATGATTTGAAAACTAACATCAAAGTCTCATAAAAAAGCAGGACAGGTAGACTTTGGATAGACTATTAGGAACAAGTGTCATTGATTTAGCAGTTCATTCGCGCTGAGCGCACAGGAGACTGGAATCTACGTCTGCTGTCTGTCAGCAAGATGATTCCCTTATTCCATGTTGGTTGTCATCTTGCCAAATCTGCACGTCTGTATCTGGAAGAAATGAAAAACCTGAAGGACATTATGTCACCAGATCAGTTCAAGGCCTACACAGAATAAGGTCACTTCACCATCCACCATCCAACTGCCAAATTCTTGAGTGGCAACTTCACTGAACAAGTAATCGAGCAAGATCTGATGCTACTGCTGAAGATCTGTGGTGGCATGGCTCGTGGTATAACTGACAGCATATCTCGCCAAATGGGTCCATGCAATGCCTCAGTGCATACCAATATGTGATGCTTTAGAGAGGTTCACAGGAGTGCACGGCCAAACATCTGAGCAACATGTTGACCTTCATTTATGTAACATCATGAGAGACAACAAGGACTATGGAACATTCTTCCATTGGCTGAAAAATCATTCTCCTTTCTCCTATGAAGAGCATGAGTCGCTCATCTGCATAGCAAAGCAGTTCCTATAGGAATGAAGGCAGCTTCAGCAGTGACAGGTCAGATGTTTGCTGACATAAAGTTGAAGCCCAAAGATAAGGTGATAAGTATCAGTGAGGAAAAGAATCAAATCAAAATCAGAGGAGAGCCAGTCCAAGTAAACTGTGTGATGCTATTCATGTGAGTCACCTGTGTGATGGAGGATAAGTCAGAGATGAAGTTGTACCTACTTCATGAATTTGCAAAAGCAACCACCTGCCTTGTTTGACGAAATATGATGTGAAAGAATATGAAGAGTGCTCTGGCTAATCAACTGAAATCACAAGTCCAAG